GCAAACAGCATGTTCCTTGGAGAACGATAAGCCCCATCGAGGCCAAACCAATAAACGGTTTCTCTCTAAGCTCCAACCGTGCGGATTGAATTGTGATAGATTCGATTAGTTTAAATACCACGGCCAGGGTTCGGAAGGTGGCGTTGTGATGGCGAATGGGCGTCAATTTAGGAATTAAGGAATTAAGGAACTAAGTGTAGAGTGTACATACTAGTAGTTGTATTAGTTGACTCTAGGCGAAGGCAGAAGAATAAAAAAATAATCAAAATAATCAAAATATACTCATCTGTACGCGTTCAATACCCAAAATACCTGCCCCCTGGAAACGGCCACCGCCAAATCAGCCAAATAGTCAAACAGCCACTGGGAATGGATTCTGTGACAATGTGAGAGGGTCCTGGCCCAGATCGGGGGGCGGGATTCCGTAATTTGATAAATTGGCAAATCAATTGGAATCGGAAAAAGTACAGAGCTGGGCGTAAACCTGAAACAGACATAGACTCCCCCCACTCCTGCGACACCGCTGAAAGTGCCGACTCCATTCACCCCTACCCACGGTAGCTTGTTACCCTCCCACTTTCCTCCTCCTCCCATCTTCCCTTTATCACCTCTCCCTCCCATCTCTTTGCAGTTTCTTGCTGCTCTTCATTTTCTATGCTGAGCATCGCCCGCAAGACTTTTAAACGCGTTCCCAGCTTTCAGGACCTTCTTCAAGGCAGGATGACCCACCCCGACATGTAAGGATACACTCCCTCCCGCTTCTTCGCCATTGTCGCCATAACATCACTGACTTGACTTCAGTTCCGTTGACGTCCTCGTCATTGGCGCTGGCCCTACTGGTCTGGGTGCCGCTAAGCGTCTTAACCAGATTGTATGTCTCTTTGCTTTCTCTCCTCTCTGAACCTCTGGCCGATGGCTGGTCTGCACTGGCAGAAAAAAATAAATAAAGGGGGGGGTTGATTGATGGAGGGGTAGTGCAAGAACTCATGAACTAATCAATTGTACAGAACAACCCCTCTTGGTTGATTATCGACTCCAACGAGACCCCTGGTGGTCTTGCCTCCACTGATGTGACCCCTGAAGGCTTCGTAAGTTACCTGAATTTTTCTTGTTGACCAACTTCCCCGCGGAACCCCCCCCAGTCTGACCCTTTTTTTCCCCTGGGAATAGCTGTACGATGTCGGTGGCCACGTTATCTTTTCCCACTACAAGTACTTCGACGACTGCATCGACGAGGCTCTCCCCAAGGATGACGACTGGTTCACACACGAGCGTATCTCCTACGTCCGTTGCCAGGAAGAATGGGTCCCTTACCCCTTCCAGAACAACATCTCCATGCTTCCCAAGGCCGAGCAGGTCAAGTGCATTGACGGCATGATCGACGCTGCCCTTGAGGCTCGCGTTGCCAACAACAAGCCCAAGAACTTCGACGAGTGGATTGTCCGCATGATGGGTACTGGTATCGCCGACCTTTTCATGCGCCCTTACAACTTCAAGGTCTGGGCCGTTCCCACCACCAAGGTAAGACACCCCATACTTCCCCTCTACCCCACCCCCGTCGAATTTCGGTTCTAACGACTCCTAATTTTTCAGATGCAATGCGCTTGGCTCGGTGAGCGTGTCGCTGCCCCCAACCTGAAGGCCGTGACCACCAATGTCATCCTGAACAAGACCGCCGGTAACTGGGGTCCCAACGCCACCTTCCGTTTCCCTGCCCGTGACGGTACCGGTGGTATCTGGATTGCTGTTGCCAACACCCTCCCCAAGGAGAACACCCGCTTCGGTGAGCAGGGCAAGGTCTCCAAGGTTAACGCCAACAACAAGACCGTCACTCTCGTCGACGGCACAGTCATCGGCTACCAGAAGCTGGTCTCCACCATGGCCGTCGACTTCCTGGCTGAGGCCATGGATGACAAGGAGCTGATGCCCCTCACTAAGCAGCTCTACTACTCCTCCACTCACGTTATCGGTGTCGGTATCCGTGGTGCCCGCCCGGACCGCATTGGTGACAAGTGCTGGCTGTACTTCCCCGAGGATAACTGCCCCTTCTATCGTGCCACTATCTTCTCCAACTACTCCCCCTACAACCAGCCTGAGGAGTCCAAGAAGCTGCCCACTCTCCAGCTCGCTGACGGCTCTAAGCCCGCCTCCTCCGAGGCCAAGGAGGGCCCCTATTGGTCCATCATGCTGGAGGTTTCCGAGTCTACCATGAAGCCCGTTAACCACGAGAAGCTCCTCCAGGACTCCATCCAGGGTCTTGTCAACACCGAGATGCTGCAGGCCGGTGACGAGATCGTCTCCACCTACCACCGCTGCTTCGACCACGGTTACCCCACCCCCAGCCTGGAGCGTGAGGGTGCCCTCACTCAGATCCTGCCCAAGCTGCAGGAGAAGGGTATCTGGTCCCGTGGCCGTTTCGGTAGCTGGCGCTACGAGGTCGGCAACCAGGACCACTCCTTCATGCTGGGTGTCGAGGCTGTCGACAACATTGTCAACGGTGCTGTTGAGCTGACCCTCAACTACCCTGACTTCGTCAATGGTCGCCAGAACACTGAGCGTCGCCTGGTTGATGGTGCTCAGGTCTTCGCCAAGAAGGCTCAGCAGTAGATAGCTCGATTTTGACGTTTTCCCTTTCTTTTCCTTTGTTTCCACCCTTTCCTGGCTGTTCTTTTGGTACTATTGCACGAAGTCACACTATCACGGGGAAAAATATACACATGCAGAGGGAGCATTTGAAGCGGCATCTGGGAGACAACGATCTTTGTTGGCGTTTCATGTGATTCAACACCCCAATTCTACCTTTCTTCCACCCAATATCTCCGCCTTCTTTTCTGTCACCTAGAGCCGGATTTTGCTTGTGGCCTTCTTTTTGATACACACTTTTTAGACTTGCTTGACTCGGTGATTTGCTTATCTCAATAATGGAATGATGTCGTCTATCGACATTCGGAATGACCCCCTGTTTCTCCTAAATAACTCGTATTCAGCTCCCGATAGAGCGATCGTATTCCTATTTTTTCTTCTCGCATTCAAGAATGGTCTGTTGCTCACTTGACAGCGCTCCGTATGTTCACTTCGACGCACCCACCCCTTGCTCACAGATCCTCGAGAACCCTTACTCCTCGAATTGCCACGCGAAGATCTTCCAAGGTCGACTACCCCACTGCATGAGGCAGATCAACTCAACCGCCTGCATACAGTATGTGGCAACTTCCAAGTCTGCGACTTGGAACCATAGTCAATACCCGCCATACGCCACAAGATCTATCATGCACAACGACTACGGTAGGAACGCCAACAACACCCCTCAGCAACTTGTCTACGCATACACCCCTGAATTTTTTTACCGCAGACCAACGGCGCCGAGAAAGCAGAATTCACGGCCGCGCCCACCTCGGCCGCGAACTTGGGTCGACCCTATTTGGGTTATTGGGGTGGCGTTTCTAGGTGGAGCCGAGAACCAAGCACCGGGGGTCCACGAAGCGAGAAAGGAAATTACAATATGAGGATTCTTTGATGGATGGGCTCCGCGTGCCTGAGACATTTCCTTGGTCTAGATCTTTTCCCCCTATAACTTGAACCGTTTGGACTGGTTGATTCTGGTTGTTCGTAGAATTGTTGGCTCGAGCCAGACTGGGATGCTGGCTTGGTTCCTGTATCTGTTCGGTTCACTGGGGACTAGAATCTATTCTTAGACTGAAGAATTGCCAATGAGCCCCCATAGTATTGGGCCCAATTCGCTCTTGTTGGATCATTGTTCTCTGCGTCAAATTCTCAAGAGGTTGTTGGTAAGACCTTATAAAGGTATAGTTGGAAGAATATGACTTATAACATTCAATCTAATACAGGGATGGATTGACACAAAGGGTTTCTTTTCTATGAAGGGCTGAAGAAGCTTATTTTATGCTTTTGGAGCCTCGACTATCATCAATCAGTCAATAAGGACAGCTAGCCATTTTTAAGGGACCCTATGAACGACGAGCACCATGCACAAAATGGGATTGGCCAGCACTAGTACTGCCATTCATGGATACTACTTTTTCAGTGTTTACTTGGTGTCACATCCACTCAAGTTCAACTTGAAGTTCACGTGAACTAGAGAGATGTCGGGGAATTTCTACATTCCAAGGTGTCACGTACTTAATATATGCCTACTACCAAAACTAAACCTGAGAGAAAGTTGAAACCAATGAAGAAGCTGGAGCAGCTGATGCCCATCTCGGGTATATCAATTTTCTTTTTTGTTCTGGCCGAGGGTTGAAGAGAAACCTTGGAAGGAGATGAAGTTTGTATAGGAATTGGACAGAGGGAGACAAGTTAGAGAGAAACATTCACAGTGAATTAGCACCTGCCTAGTAGGGTCAAGGGCTTAATTGACAAAGGGTTCGAGCTAGCGAAGTAGTGAGGAGAGGGAGAGCTGGACAGGAATATGAGAGGGGGAAAAGAAAGAGAAAAAAAGGCAATGAACGGTATAGCGCTTGATCCAAATCCTTTTCTGGAGGGTATGACAGACAGAAGAGAAAAAAGAAAAGTGTCGAAAAAAAAATTCACAATTGAAGAATTCGCAGGACAGTACTTTCTACCGCAAGCCGGCAGGTCGGTGATCAACATCTGAAAGGAAATGAAAGGTCCAAAGTCGCCAGAAGTGGGAAGAAACAAGCCTCAATGAGGTTCGCGACGATATGCTTCGAATCAAATCAGGGATATATAACAGCTAGGAAAGAGACGGGAGAAAGGGCAAACTTGAATGAAGGCAATAAAGCAGACAAAAGATGAAAAAAACGCATGCTCCTTCCGATTCTAAATGCAAAGACATAACCCAACATGACAAAACACGCTCGTCACGATAAAATGCAAAAGGCACGAAGTATGCAGAGAAGGCGCCCTTCTTCTGTGAGTAGGCGCAGGTTACAGGAATAAGTTATAGGAGGGATGCTTGACACAGAACGACGATTCTGGGTTTGAGATGAGGCGAGACGGAGATTAGCGTAGCCCGGGGATTAGAACACGGCGGCGAGGCCGTTCTTTGAATGGCGCCTGCTGAAACGCTTCTTCCCTTTAGTCGACTCGGAATCGGTGGCCTGGTTTTTCACTAAGTGATTGCGTCCTGAGGAATTACCGTGGTTCTGGTTTGTGTTCTCATTCTGCTGTAGGTCGGAGGTGCGATCGAGAGTGTTGGCATGGCTTGAGAAACCAGAAGAGATATCACGGAAGGCATCCTCGGCAGAATAAGGACCGGCGCTTTGTTGTGCTAAAGCCATTTCCCGTGCTCGGTCGAGGGCATCTAGCCATTCCTGCGCCGAGAGTGCAGTAGACGCGATGTTGCTTGAGGATGGTTTCGAATCTTCAAAGACGAAATGTTTCTCTCTCTGTGGAATAAAGTTAGAATTCGAGCTAACGGTACGATGAATTTCGACATACCGTATCGACCACCCAGGAGGAATGCCCCTTGGCATCAGTTGTGCTTCTATAGTGTGTTCCGGCTGCGAGAAGAGGAATCTCAAGCTTTGATTTCTTCTCATCACCGCCAGACGCAGCAAGGATAATGCGACCCGAAGAAGTGACCATAACCAACCGATTTCGCTTTTTAGTTGCTGTCCCAGAGAAAAATCGCGAGAGTCTACCGGGTGTCTCAACCTCACCACTGCCGTTCTTCGAGGTCGGGCTATGGGAAGCAGGAGAGGATATGACTACCATGTTTCCCAGTTTTAGAATGCGCTCATTGGATTTGCTGAGCACAGGAGACCATTCGATATCAAGTTGACTTGGCGGAGGTAATTCTGTGACCACCCGAGGCAGTGCGCGAGAACTTTGTGTAGCATTGGACGGAGCTGTTGAGATGGCCGGGGGAAAATTATCGCCGCCTTCAGCACCATTCAGTTTGATGGGCTCTCGTGGGGGCGGTACATATGCTTTCAGTCGTGGAGCTTTCTGTTTCCACAGTTCTGAGCCCCATGAAATGCCCTGGAAGAATTCGTGATTTTTGATGTGCTCAATTTGCAAGCGTCGGGTGGGCTCAAGAACCAGGAGGCGCTCAACAAGATCTCGGGCCACGGGAGGGAATCCAATCGGAAATTCGTAATCCAAGGCCACGATCTTTTGGAAGGTTTGGTATTCGTTGCCCGCTTTGAAAGGCGGGCGGCCCGCCAAGAGCTGGTAGATGATGCAGCCGAATGCCCACAGATCACTAGCCTTGCAAGCATTCTTTTCCGTCAACAACTCGGGACTGACATATTCCGCGGTGCCGACAAAAGAGCTCGCTCGTTCCTCTTCCGGAAGGTCGGCCACATCAGTCGGAATGGAACTTGAGCTCTCATCCGGTCGTCGCGGAGTGGTCTTGAGAATCTTGGCTGTACCGAAATCGGTGATTTTGATGTACGACTGATGGTCGAGGAGAACATTTTCCGGCTTCAGATCTCGATGAATAACTCCCCGCTTGTGCATATAGTCTATTGAGTCGAGGATTTGGGCGCCATAGAATCTGGTACACTCCTCGTCAAATGTGGTCATCCGCTTCAGGACGCCCAGCAGTTCTCCTCCTTTGCACAGATCTAGAACAAAGTAAAGTGATCGCTCATCCTGGAAAGTGTAGTAGAGTCGAACGATGCCGGGGTGGTCAGTGAGTCGATTCAAGGTGTCCTTCTCGATATTAACGTATTTGACCTTCTTCTCCTTAATGATGTGTCGTTTATCCAGAATTTTGATCGCGTATTCCTTCAAAGTTTGTCGGTCCGTCGCAAAGACCACTGTACTGTAGGAACCCTCTCCAAGAGTATTTCCAAATGAGAAATCCCGGACTCCCTTCTTGACGAAACGCGCCACAGTTTTCCCGTTGGCATCAACCTCCTGTCTCACTGAGACCGCGGCTCCGCGATCCTGCCACTCCTCGCTGCTGGCCGCCGGTCCATTCTCCATCGCATAGGGCGTGCGAGACATCTGCGGCGCCACTCCGGCTCTGGCGTGTGCTCGTGATGTTTGACGCATCACTGCCGGCCCATTGGCCGGAATTTGAGTTGTGCGGTACGAGCGGTCGCTGTGTGAATTATCTCGCGTGGGGACACCGGCTAGGAGGGCTGAGTTTCCGCCGCGCGTATCTATCCGCGAGTGCTGTGTGGAGGTAGAGGAAGCGCCCGAGTCGGTTCTCATACGATATGAGTTGTCGCGGGGCAGAACGGAGGTGGCCGAGCCGTTTGTGTACACGGAGGAAAGGGGTCGGTTCGGATTTGGGGGCGTGGAGTGTGGTTGTGTCGAGTAGGACTGGTACTGGGCCGAAGATGTTGGAGGGACGTCTGACATGAGATTGACGACGGAGGTACGGTTCTCATTTTGTATCGGCGCTTCGATGGGAGCTGCCGGGAAAGGTGCTGGGCGGTCGTCATTCGACATGGGAATCTGTGGATGTGTTGATAGCGAGTCATCCGGGGGTCCGGATGGGCTGGATCCTATGTAACCATCGGGCGCATCTTCAGCATGCAGAGGCGAATCATCGGGGTTTGCGATCCGCAGCCCTCCCAGGGACTGGGACAGGCTGAGATCCCCGTTCATGGCGTTGGGCGACGAATGGACGAGATGGTTGGTGGGGGGAAGAGTTTCGGGGAGGAAAGGGGAAAAGGAGAATGGCCGGGGGGAGCTAGTGAGGCAGCACCAGAACCCGAGGCCAAAACGTGCAAATGTCGACAACTAAGGCGATGAAAGGCGAATTATCATGGTCGGAGTGAGAAGTTGAGGAATGAAGAATAGAGAGGGAGAGGGAGAGGAGAGATCAAGAGAGGGGGGGGGGGGCAGAAATGATCAACAGCACTCCGTCTTAGAAGGAAGCAGAATCAGAATCAGGTCTAGTGAGGGGGGCTTAGCCTGACAGATTGTAGATATAAATAATATATTAGTACCTAGCAATTTAAAGGTTTAGTTAAGGTGTATTCTATATACTAGATTACTAACTAGGTATATAAAGATCATGTGCAATGTGTACTTGAATAGTATAAGTTATTGATATTACCTGTAGTAGTAGTACTAGTAGTACTATAGTAATTACCCATTAGGCACCATCCTCATAGTATCCGAGAGTATCTTCGTGACTTCCTCTCTTACTTGATTTCACCAGTTCCAAATTCCAAGTTCCAAGTTCCTCTGCGATCTCCGACTTCCTAACATGGATCGCCCCCGGTCGTCCGACTGTCTCATCTTCTTGCAGTAAACCTCTGGGCTACCCTGGGGTATGTCATGGCTTGCATGGCGAGACGGCCACCGTCTCTCATTGCTTTGGGGGACGCCGAACTACAACCCTATCTCCAGGGCAAAATCCTACAGTCCCTGGTTTTGGAATTGAATAACCTCCATCTGTATGATCTAGATGATCCGAACTACAGAGATGCCGACGGTAATAATGACGGGGTCAGCCCTTCTACTAGCTCTCATGACGAGGCCCTCGCAGCATTCTACACCTCAGCAGGAGTATCATCTGGCACTGGAACCGCCTTTACCCAGGGTGCTGAAGACTCCCTCTTAACATTGACTCAACCGACCTCGTTCCTTGCCTCTGGGATGACGACGGAGTCCGCGTCGGCCCACCAAGCTTCTCACCCAAATAACCCTTCCACCAGCTCTACTTCTCCTGCTACAACCGCTACCAATCAGAATTTGCCTTCTTTACAACCTCGTGGACGACCTTCTTCGAGTCTCAATATTTTTCCACGACGGCGAGTGGTATTTGCTGCGGCTCCTCGAATTCGTCCACGGACAAGTGCTTCTCGGAGATGCAGACAGAAAGGTTGGTCCAATCCCCTTCCAAAACACACTCGTACTCAATATTGATCTTTGCTCATCCAGAAAACCACCGACATACCATGCAAACACTCCCAGACGTGAAATCCTGGTTTTTCACTGCCCATAAGCCACGTTTATCCCTCGGCGCCATTCCGGATATGACCATGGGCAGTGTCCCACTACGGGACCTAGCTTTAGCGTCGACAATGTCTTACGAGGCAGTTCTGGCCGCGACAATGGTCTCGCCATCCGCGAAAGCGGATCCCATACAGGAATATGGCACTATTCAACCCGAGTCGGTATTTAATAAGCTCAGTGCGGATCGAGATGGCGGGTGAACCTGCCGTGGTGCCTTGATTGACCTATGTGGCCTGGCCTGTGATCAGAGCTGCCGAATACGCTAATCATTGTTTTATTTTATTTTATTTTGTTTTCGTTACCATCATATGTTCCGCAGTTGCGACACTTGAAGAGTGTATGTCTGTGTCTTTGTGGCCCCGACCTGAGTGGGAAAATTTCCCTATTGTGATCCATGCAGCATGGAGGATGTATACGATATTGTGATATGGACGGGAGTAAGTTCCGATTCTTACTACCGTCCACTTTCTCGCTTCTTCTGTTCTCCTTCTGTATTATTTTGTATTATTTTTTCACTTATACATATGCTTCCTCTTTATTTCCCGTTTCTATCTAGAAAACCAGCGGTGACTGGGATAGGCCTAGGCTTTGAACTGAAACAATTATTTTCGGGCCCAAGCTAACTATAGTTCGTGGGCGGCCTCGGTCCAAAATTCGGCTGCCTTTGAATGACCCAACAACTGACGCGGCTTTTGGCCATTCGCCCCTCCCTCAAGAATGCCATACTTACCGCTCTTAGCAGTGTAGAAATATTCCACTATGGTACTAGTAATTGTGCCATTTTCGATTTTCGACAATCGATTGTAAAACCATTCTGCCAGGCTCAGCCTTGGCTCTCATTGCCCGCGTCTCTTCCCAGGCTACAGCCAAGCTTTCAACATGAAATTAACCGACGCTAAATTCCAACTTGATAATTATAGAATCGGGATCTCGGGAGTCCTGATCGATTAACCCCGCACTTCCCCGTACTCACCGCTATGTACTTTGCCTTTGCACGGTGGACTAGCAGCGGGAGAAAAAAACCTGGCAGCTATATCCATCTGTACGATAGTTGTGAGAGGCTCGACAAAAATTATGTGCAAACAGATTCTATTGTGAGCCCACATGTCTGAAGATAAGAAACATACCAGTATGCAGTGTCTCTCGTAACCATGACCTGGCTGAGATCGAAATCCCCAGCGCCTGGGGCTGAGTGCCGGTGATACACAGCCTGGAACACGCTATGAATAGATCCTCACTCTATGTCTCTATCCATCGACATATGATATCTTCTACCTAGTAGTAGTCCTAGTAGTAGTCAGAATTGTTTTTCGTCTCTGGTGCCAGTGGAAGACCACTGGCAGGAAACAAGGCATGGAATATTTCGATGTTGTCTAGATCCGGGTGGATACAACATCCCGAGATCTAAATAAGGAAATCAATGTCTCAGTGTATCCGGATTCGAAGTCCAAGCAGAAATCTGCGGTTCTCTCCATCGCCCGAGGAAGCCATGAATTAATCGGCATGAGTCACATATTGCCAGCCCTGGAGTGATGTCCGAATCTCATCTCTAACAACAAAACTCGAGAGACGCTAATATGCTGGAGGCGATGGCTCATCTCCTTCAAAAGTCCTACTTCATTCTTTAGACACACTTCAAGTTCTATATGGAAGTAAAATCCTCGGGATAATCATTCTCGTCGCCTATTTTCTCCGATGAAGCAAACTGTTTTCAACTGACGTGGACAACTTCTTGCATAACTAGCCTACTATACTATCATGTGTTTGGTCAGCGATTTTAATTATCTCGTAATCGGACTTCAATAAGCACTTTTAGTAGTCTAGTAGTAGTTGACCTGTATGAAGCTACTTTGGGCTGAGTTACATTTCATTCTCGTACCAGTCAAAGATCAATCAATTGATGAGATTACCTAGGTATATACAAACTTTCATTATGACCATTATTCGTGACAACTTGAAGTCAAAAGATAGCCGCCAATATGTGAATTGGGGGGGCATATGTAAAAAGAAGAGAGGTACTATATTATATGAAAAGCCAGTCCAGCCGAGATTCATCCAGTTCGTCGATCCAGTCGAATGTTTCGTCGCCGTCTTCATGGTCGTCGTCATTATCTACTTGTGAATTAAGATACCCATCGCGTTCGCGTCGCTTTTGGTCTTTGGTCTGCCACATCAACCTCAGTACCCAGGCTGCATTGCGAACATTGACACTGGTAACCGCTTGGTAGATTGTACCGAGTTTCTCGAGAACGAGCGCACGCTGCGAGGAACGGCGGCATTCTGCGCCTGCTATGAACGTCGGCCAAATGAGGCATTTGATATGCGGGTCGGAAGAAGGAACGGAGCATAGCTCGGCAATGAGATTTTTCGCGACGGAGGAGTGATCGGCTGGAACTCCGACGTCTGTCCAGGGAGGGGAGAAGCCTTCCCTAGTCCGGGAGAGAACGCGGCTGGTATAAAGATACACGGCGGCTTGGTAGCAGCTGGCGAGAGTGATGCGGTGAGAGACGTCGGCCAGGTAGTGATTTTGCTGCATTTCGTGAGCCCAAGCGACTGGGTCAAATCTGCGGATTCCTTGGAGAAGAGCTACGTATGACTCCAGAGTGAGCGGTCTGCCCTGCTGCATGGACATCGGTAGGGCCGTCGGTCGTGGAACGGCGGCTGCAATTCCAGAGTCCGGGTACCAGAGGGTATGTACGAAGAATATCACTTCGAGAAGGTAGGCAGGACATCCGATCCAGGAGGTTACTTCAAGGCGTTTGAGCATAGCTGGGCCCATGGCCGACGAGTAGAATGGCTTCGAGAGAGCGCCTGGACGTGCGAGTGTTGACCCCATAATTTCCAGACTGAAGTTATGATTAGACTTTGGTGATTGAAGACGGATGTACAATAAAACTTACATTAAGCAGCCATCAACGGCGAATGACTCAAGTCCCTGTAGCATACCCTGGCCCAGTTCGTCTTCGGGTCGGTCCCTGAGAAGCTTCTTCGCGCCCTCAATGTGGTAGCTCCAGGCGCCACTACCAGATTCAAATAAATCTAGCAGCGCAAGAACTATTATCGTAGCCAAAGTCCTGTCGTCTTTCTGTGAAAGTGGGTTGGAGAGGTCTCTGGATAGTTGGCCGAGTGTTCGTTGCTTGAATTCAAGAAAGTGTTGGAATGCCTTTGAAGGCGGCCGGTTGGCGCCTGTTGGGGAAATGAAGCTTTCGATATCTTCTGGTGTTAATTGAGTGTCGGCCGTTAGCAAGCTCTGCTTTGACCAGGGCATTGTGGCCGCTTCGGAGTTCGTCGCGAGTGAAAAATGGAGAGCTCCCATTGAAGATAGAGCAAGCCCAATAAGTTGCGAGTCTCCGACTAAATTTATAATATTTCGCCATGGGTTATCCGATCCGGCGTAGACAACGAAGTCCTCCGCCATGGATTGATTATAGTGGTGTAGATAGAAGCGTGAAAGTCGTGACATATCTTTGAATAGCGGGTCAACCAACCCCCACGGTGCTGGAACGTTCTCTGTAGAGCTACTGCGAGGGACCTGTACCAATGCGGTATCGTTCTGTTCCGAAGGGTCCAACTCAAGCAATGTATCTTCTTCTGTCGGTCCAAATATGACAGTATCTAGTGTGTCTTGGACCCAAGCGTCGGCCTCTGGACTCGAGTGAGTCCCACAGCTGGATGAGTCATTTTCGGGCGAAGACTTCGCGATGGAGAGAAAGTTGAAGCTCGGGGTATTTTGTGGTGCAGTATCATTGGATTCGGAGGCAGGTGGGGATTTCGCATCGCCGTCGGACTTGTTCACGTCGTCAAAGGAACGGCCCATCATCTTGCCACGACTGGCAACACCTCCTTTGACCCAGACCAAAGGCTTCTGGTAGCCCAAACATTCTTTACCTGCATCTCGACACTTCCTGCAGGTCGGCTGACCATTATCGCAGATGATGCGACGACGGCGACAGGTATAGCAACCTTTTGTCATGATCGGCGGAGGGGATCTGGAATTCTCAAGGGGAGTATAAACGAGGCTGGCGACTGTGGGTCTGTTTGACTCGCCATCGCGGTCGTATATTGTCGAATAATTTCCAGGGTTCACGCAGTCATAGCTGGACGGGCACTGCAGTTGATAATATGGAGAAATTGGCGGATGAAATGGCGGCGGCGAGCCTCCGCAGACAAATCAGTGCGGGGCTTACTAAGGGTGCAACTCCGCCAAATCCGCAAATGCTGAGCCGAGCACTTTTGCCTCTCGTTCTACGAGCCCAAGAAGATTCACCATGGTGTATTTCCTCTTTGTGCGGCAGCTGGAGGTGAGTGCATATTTCATAATACCTTCCCAGACCCTTCGTTGATGGATGATCGCTGACCCGGGCACTCGGTAGATCTGGATGACTGCCAGAGTAAGTCGATGTCTCTGCTGGTCGCGGACCCGCAAGCTAATTTGATCTCGCCTCCAGCTCTTGCGAAGTCCTATCTTCCACCAGATGGTTGGTAAGGTCCATCAGCGTGTGCAGCAGGTTCGCCATGGTATCCCCCCGGAACCGTCGCGCACCTCGCTCGAAAGTAATCAGAGTAGGAGTCTCCCGGTAGCCCCAAGAGGTTCCGATGAAATGCTGACCTCGTGATTTGCAGGTCTTGGCTTGAAGAAATTCGTCAACTATTTCAAGGAAGAAATCAAAGACCAGATGAAGGGAAAACCACCCAACAAGCTGTGATTCAAGAGATTGCTGGCGTTTTTGCATTGAGCTTTCTGCTCTGACCGGATGATACCCAACTCAACCCATAATTGGAAATTATTTCTGCTTTACTCTCTTTGCCCTCTTTTCTTTCTAATTCAATTCAATTCAATTCGTTTTTGCTTCTTTCGCCCCTCTGCGCTTTCTTTCTGAACTGTCAAACTAGGATGCATTGTCTGCGCCATGAGACGGTTGATGTCTCAAAATCAAGACGTCACGTTTCATCCATCTTTGCCTGGACTGTGCTGTGCTGTTGCCCCCGTGTAGCTGGGGGTTGAAATGAAAATGAAACAGACTTGGCTACATAAGTTACTCGATGCCTAAATATTGGAGAGCTGGCTAGTGCCAAAGGCATGAAAAAGGTGGATGCGTTCGGATTGGCTGCTATAAGAGCGCATAGCGGACGAATCATATACAGGCCTTAAGAGAACCAGTGGGTTAGAATAGAATTCAATATTAATATTTCATGAGTACTCCGTACCTACCAACTAGTATGACACTTCACTCACAGCCGCAACTGTGTCTGCCGGGGTGATAACGTCTCAAAATTACTAGTGCTTCTTATAAACCTCTGCCATGTCCTCAATGAAGCCATTATATCTGTACAAATTACTCAATTTTAACAAGCCAGGGTATTGGGCATATACTTATAACTGGGTAGGATAACAAGTAGTGTATGAATATTTGAAAATATTGTAAATAGAGAACCTAGGAGTGGTTCAAGAAGTACTCCGTACTCCGTACCTGGCGTCAGGAACCGGACCACGCGGGCGTTCCCCGGCAACGTACGGAAGATGACAGAGCGTACTCCGTACTCCGTAGTTAGTTATGCATATGTTCATTATGGTTAGCTATTGTGTACTTTGTTCTCCGTACGGGGTGTCCGTAGATTGGCACAAAACAAACCCAATCAAATGGATCGACTGGGTCAAGCCAACGCGGCGGTGGAGATTCGAGCATGCGTCAGAGAGTGATCTGTCAGCACCAAAATCAGAAATCCAGGCACGCCACAGTGACCCAGTTAGGGCTAGTCACCGAGGCCCCGGTTCAGTCGGCTGACAGCACAGAATTTTCTCGAGTCGAGGGGTTAGTCCAAAATCCTCAAGGCAAATCAAGAGGCAAAAGAATTGTACTCTGTACTTTCTTCGTCTGTATTCTTCCGGAGCGGAGTTGGCGCCAGTATGGGCCAAGATCGACAAAAAAGGATATGAAGCACAATCAATCCAGCAGGAGAGGTGCTAAAAATGGTTCCAGTGGAGCCGATCGATTGGCGCCAAAGATTGGGGGTGAAAATATTGTACTGTATGTGCATGGAGATGAGGCCTCTCTGGTGAGTGGTTGGGTGCTGTATGCATTTTGTAGGATCGACGGAGTACAGGGTACTCTGCACCCTGTTGTAAATAGTAATCCTTTTGTAACCCTAGCTCGCAACGGTGGTGGCCTAAAAAAAGGTGTCGTGGCCAAGGAGACCAACGGGTGAAACTAGAGACAGTAGTGCAGCCTCTTAAAATGGAGCAAGTGGAGAATCCAAGCCCCCATTCATCGGCCCAATCGGGACTAGTGGTCGAACGAGAGTGTTTCCCCCCCTTTCTCTCCTCTCTCTTCACCTCTGCTGACCACCCTCTTCCCTTCATTGACCCTCGTTTTTTAAAACCAACCCCTCCACGATCGTTTTACTTTCTCATCTCGAGAAAAAACCACATCCCCATACCATCATGCGTCTCGCCCGACTCTCGTTCCTGGCTCACGCCCTTCTCCTGACCGCTGTTGCGGCTCAGTCTGTCGCAGTCACCGACCTCGTCCCTTCCGTCACTAGTGATTCTAGTTCATCATCCGATCCTGCTACATCTGCCGACCCTACTACTAGTAGCTCTTCATCTTCCTCTACTTCTTCTTCGTCCTCGTCCTCGTCATCTTCCCAGGACCAGCCATCCACTACTTCCGCCGACCCGACTACTTCTTCTTCTTCTTCCTCTTCGTCCAAATCCACCACCTCGGCTGAGAACACCGCAGACAACACCTCAAAGACCACATCATCTCAGAACAATGAACCCAGCAAGACCGCAGATGGTGATAGCTCCTCTACGTCTGACTCCTCGTCCACCACCCAGACTCCCGTCGTCGAGACTATCACCTCCTATCAAACGGTTAGCGGTAGCACCCTGCAACATGTCATGACCTCCACTTCCATCCCGGCCTCGGAAACATCATCGCCTTCTCTCAGCGGTGATAGCAGCAGCAATTCCAGCAGCGGTGTCTCGAGTGCCGACAAGAAGATCATCATTGGTGTCGTCGTCGGTGTCGGCGGTGCCATTGTCATTGGTGTTTTGGCTATTGTCATCTGGCGTATCCAGAAGAAGCGCAGCGGACAGTACAACGAGGAAGATGATGACCTGATGGGCGGCACTGCTGTTGGCTCCGGCCCCCGTGAGAAGGCTCCTAGCCCCAGTGCCGGTGCCCAGGGTACCCCCTTCAAGAGCACACTCGACCAGTACCACAACCCTGGTCCCGTCAACGCTGCATCGAACTTCTAAGCCTTGGGCTGGATTCAAACAATAGATGCAACTTGCGACGGCTCGCATTAGTCGAAGTGTAAAAATCTCTTTTTCTCTGTACGATCATCACGCAATTTTCAGGCGCTATGGACAAGGTTGGCGAAGATCACGATCGCGTTTTTTCTTCTTTTCTTCGGTTGCAGATTTCCACTTTTTTCTTGTCTTTTCGGGTGAACTTCGGCTGCCCCTCACTTTCCTTTTCGACATCATAGACTCGACACGCTGTTGTTTCTCACTCCTTTGAGCGTTCTTTGTCCGCAACCTCCACACTCCTTGTGATCCCATCTCTCGACCCTCGCGCTACAATTACCCACGGCAGCTGTGTCTTTCGGCTTTGCCCCGTTATCTCGTTACTTATTCCCCGTGCCGAAGCGCTTGGTTTTTTTTCCCTGGTTTTCCGTCTCGAATATATCTATCCTGTTACTTAATACATCTTTACCTGCCCAGTATTCGAGAGGTTCATCTATGTCCTACGGTGTACTAAGGTATGTAAAATTTAGCCTTATAATGAAAAGTTTCATTCAATTCTTGTGTTCCACACCATTCAAGTATCATGATAGTCTATCCTGCTCCCCTTTTCTTTGAAGATATTGGCCACCTGGGCACCATAAAGAAAAGAACGCCATGTGCCACGTATTGGCTACTCATACATCTAAGATCTGAGATGGGTCCACTGATCTCGAAGATGATGCACATTCTCCACGTGGGTCGTTCACTAGAGACTATGTACGGAGTACGTAGCTAGAAATTTGATTTTAATCTAGCTTTCATCTAGAGTGGGTTCGATTGCCAACGACGAATCCATCCATGGCCACTTACTCTATACTTATGCACTATTAGTATTAGTAGCACTAAATATCCGTCATCTTCATTAAAAATGTGTAGTCAATTCCACTTGTAGACAACGCTCTGTACTCCATAGAGAACCTATCTCGAATAGTAGTGGAAAATGCAGATCACGCGTCCGCGCCCCTAGCTGGCCTGTTGATCCATTCCGCCTCCGCCGCGGCGACGCGCTGTTCACGTGGCGGCCGGAATGCGCGTCGCGCAGTCAACGATACGATCGAGAACTTCCCCCAGCCTCTCACTCCGTTTAAAAGAAACCCCCAAGGGCTAGGCAAGATCATCTAACCTCATCTAAAATCATTTAAGTGGATCACGTCTCCAGAAACTCAAAACTACATTCATCCCAACTCCATACTCCCGGACTCGGCGAAACCACAACAGACTTCCATATCCGAACCACGGAACCCACTCTGTCCCAACTTCTTCTTTCAATCTCCAACCTCGACCATGTTCGTGACACACCCCGTTCCGTCCTCGCCAGCCACGCCCTATCGCCAAACCGGCTACCACACACCGGCGCGACCTTCTCCCCTTGGCCAGCGCAACTCCAACATCGCCACACCCCCATGGACAATGGCCTCCGCGGGACAGTCGAAGCCGGGCATGGATGAGAATCAGTTCTCCCCTGTGCAATTCCCGAGCTTCTCCTTCCACAGCAACCAGTCCCAGGGGCAAACGCAGGTCCACCAAGGACAGAAGCAGTCGTCAAACATCTTCAGTCCCCCTTCAACCTCGCCCTTCCAACACCAACCTTCTGGGCTCATGTCTCCTACCTCCCCCTCGCCCTCGAACAGACCCAAGTTCGCCGACCGCTACTCCGCTCAAATCGCCAATCCAATGAAGACCACCACATCGCTCGCCCGCTCCAAGACACGTAAGATGTTCATGAACCGCGTCAAGAACGACCGCGACTCGGGCCGCTTCGAGGCACGCGGCGAGCAGATGATGATGGCGGAGCACATGGCCGATAGAAGGAAGTGGGAGGAGTCGATGACCCGGGACGTGGATTCCATGACGCAAGGACTCGAGTTTGAGGATGACAATATGCTCCCCGAGCAAGAGGCGGATATGCAAGCTCTGAATGAATTCGTTACACAGGAGGAGGCGATGGAGATGGCTCTGAGGGAATCTGCGGGCTCGCAACATGGGATGAATACTTCTTTCAGCGATGACGATTATGACGATATCTTCATGACCTTGCCCGACCCGGCTCAGTCACAGGACATGGATATGTCGTGAGTGGTGCAGAAATTTGTTCGACGTTTTCCATTTGCGTTTTAGCGAGAGCGATTGCCTTTGGCGTTTTTATCTGGCGTGTGTGATCTATGGATGTTATTATTATTGGGTGGGTAGCCTCGGTCTTGTGTTGCCTGCTGTGGCTCGGACTGGTTGTGTGAATATGGCCTATGGCCTTGTATAGAAAGCAGAATACTAATAGAGTATCTGCAATCCATTCGTGGCATAAATGAATAGTAATCAAATCGAAATCAAACCAAACTCAATTTCCAAATTCATATCCTCCGAGTCGGTCAAAATTGCCACCGTCCTTCGTAACAATATTGTAAAAGGTTGAATACTAGCTCCTCAGTACTCCCACAGCGCTATCTTGGAAAGTCTAGGAGCATATACCTAGGTAATCACCATCCAGACAGCAGGAATCAAAAAGGGTACTAGTATGCTTGATTTTATTGGGTATCGACGCAGTTACGTATATGTAAAGTACAAAGCAAGCCGATAAATGTGCAAAGTCTATGTCAGGAATCATCTTATTGTTGCGGGCAATCGGGCATTCCCTCGGGCATCGCTCCCGCAGCTGCTCCTCCAAGATCACCCATGAGAGGGTTGGAAATGAGTTCCTCCGGTGGGCTCCCAGCTGCTTGCATCTGTAGGGTATTAGCATGTTGTGACTCAGGCGCTCCAACGATAAGAATAAGGCTAGACTTACCTCTTGCATGCGCTCCCAAACATACTCGCGGCATTTCGGATCCTCATCCGAGTACCCTGTCTCCTCGAACTTCGTCACAATCTGTTTGACAATGCGTGCTTGTGTTTCATAACGTTCCATATCTGCCGCAGGGACCTTGCCCTCGGTCTTATTCTTCTCGATCCAGGGACCGAATTTGCCATCCAGCTCCTTCATGGGCTCGTAAAGCATCTCCTTATTGGAGAGCTGCTCCATCATACCCATAAACATCTTGGTAAGGTCACCGCCATCTTCACCTCCACCAGAGGCACCGGCCTCGACAGCCTTGAGTAACTGGGCAAGCATATCTTCTGATAGCCCATCGTCCGCAGACGCGGCCTCCGTAGCGCGATTTCCAGAGTCCTGCATCCGCTCCATGGTCCGCTGAATAGCTTCATTGAAAGATTCAGCAGGCTGGTCGGAGTTGACACCCGGTGTAGAAGACGCAGTCGCAGCGGGTGCAGGTGAGGATGTAGCACCGCTCAATGCAGCGGCAGCATCCATACCAGCACCGCTACCACCCTCCTCGGCCATCACATCAGCAAGTAGTTGTTTCAAAAAGTCCCCAGGCGGGATTCCACTATCCTCGAGCTGTTTGGCAAAGGCATCGGCACCCCCCTCTAAGGATTGCTGGAAATTTTGGAAATCGGCTCCCCCAGCTGCATCAGCTCCAGCTCCGGCTCCAGCCCCGGCCGCAAGTCCAGCGGCAGCTCCACCATCGCCCATCATACTAGCCATGTTTTTCTCCAACTCTTTCAGGAAAGCATCTTCATCGAAATCAGCCGGTGCCGCACCGGCGCCGATCGTGTTGGCCGATGGCGCAGGCGGTGCGGGCTGAGGAGCCTTCGGTTTGGAGAAATCATCTAGGACCTCTATGGCGGGGGGTTGCAGTGGTTAGCATGCAGGTCCACAAAAGAGTTTGCAGAGCCGACCTACCATCTAGTTCGTCAAAGTCCGAGTCCTCATCATCCCTTGGTTGGGCAGTCGGTTGGTTCTGCGGGGTTTCGATGGGAGGCGCAGGAGCAGTCGCGGGGGAGGACTCCTTGTCAGCAGGGACAGAAGGGGTCGCCATGATGGATTTGACGAGGGCAGAGAAGAGGTAAGGAATCAAGGAACGGATAGAGTCTCTCGGAGGTACGTTTGATGCCGTTGTTGGTGCGATTGTTGTGCAGCACCTCTCGTCAGGTCGAAGGCATGTGACACGGCGAATTTGGCGGGGAACCGAATGGCCGATCGCCGAGATTATTCTGAGCACTTCATATTAACTACATACTACTACTAGCCTACTACTAGTAGGTATACTCTGTCAAGGCCATGGAATTCTCAGGGTGTGGAATGATATATCTGGATGAACTATCAATTCAGAGTATATGGATCAATTGTGAGATCTAATGCTAAGTAAGTGCCGGACCTGGTCTAGTCTGGTCCTTGCGCTGTCTGATCGATCCCCCGCACGAGCCAAAGGCAGCATTGCATCATTGGATCGCCGCGTGACATGGTCATGCGTGACAGAAGATCGGACTTGCAGAGAGCATGTAAGAACTGGCCAGCAAGAGGACATATTGAGGAACAATAATACATTGCTAGCGCGCCCCTGAAGCCCCGCGGTGAGCAGAACCAGCATGGGCGGAATGCACCGATACACCTGGCCACCATCCGTGGGCAGTATGAGTATGGTACTATCATGTATTTAATCTGTATTGAAGTACTCAAAAGCTAGCAAGTGCCCAGGTGATCTCACAATGTAGTGATTACTAGTACTCCGTACTTTCTGGAATTTACAATACGCCCCGGTATCGGCTATTCGGTGGACGTTGGAGAAAATTGGAGTCCTACCACAATACAACCAACTGGTACCTCGTGTCCAGAACCAATGGAGCCGGGCTTTCTCCGCGGGAGGGTCTTTTCTCGGGTTTTCTCCTGTTGCTCTCACTTTCCCTCGTACGATGTGACTAGGACCAAGTAAAAGTGGCCAACCAATGCCAAGCTGGTGGACCCGTGCCGTCACTCCGAGGAGGGCAAATTTGAAAAATTTTTCCAGAAGAGGGGGGCCAAAGGGTGAAAAAGAAAAAAAGAAAGGAAAAGAGCAGAAAACGGGGCAAACTAATAAGAGAAAAAAAAGAAAAAAAAGAAAAAGGCAAGGCGTATAACAAGTTTCCATAGGCGAGAGAGCCCCTCTTCCTAGGACGACCCGCGGTGGAGGACAATAGGGATTATTCGTTTAGTCAATCGCTTTACCTCACAACTTCTCTTCCTCCCCCAGTTCCCCCCCCGTTTATCTCGAATTCTCTGACTCTTCCTTTCTCCTAATCCAATTTCTTTTATGTCACTCGTCTCTCATCACTCGCACGTCCCCTCTGATCCGTCCTAGCCGCGCGGTTCCTGCGTCTGTTATTGTTCTTGTTCCATCTGCCCCCTCTCCACCCCAAGCCCGTGGTTGTGGTTGTGGCTCGGTATTGCCATCCTGGTCGGAGGATTTTAGTGAGGTTGCGCCGCGATCAAGTAGGAGGACGCGCGCTCTGTCGGGAATTTCCCACCGTGGCAGGGTCAGAAAGAAAGAAGAGGTTTGAGGGAGTGAGGTCCGATCAATAAATAAAGATCAAGATCTGTGAGATCAATCAATTTTCCAATGGTCTCTATGGTCGAGACCTCCCACCCCGAGCAAAATGACACGGTCATGGACTCGGTTGTGCCCAAGTCCGAACCGGGGCCTGACGGTTCGATCAGCTCGAATGTCTCAACGCCCGACGCTGAAGCCGAGCCTTTAAATCAAGAGGCCGCGCAAACGCAGAAGAGAAAGGGTGGTCGCAAACCTGTACGTAACATCTTTTCCCAATCTTGCATCGAGATGCAATAAATCCGGGGCCCCGCATTCCTATCACCACAACCCCCATCTTTGACACCATTTCATTCTGGCCTGACTAATTTACTTTTTCTTATCTAGATATATGCTACCTCTGAAGAACGCAAGCAGCGCAACAGACAGGCACAGGCCGCATTCCGCGAGCGCCGTACAGAATATATCCGTCAACTTGAAACCACCATCAAACGCAATGAGGAGCAACTGCAGAGCCTCCAACAGAGCCACCGTAGCGCCGCCGACGAATGTCTTATGCTGCGCTACAAGAACTCCCTGCTGGAGCGCATCCTGCTCGAAAAGGGCATTGACGTCCAGGCGGAGTTGCGCTTAAAGACTGGTGCTCCCGGCGCCGTCGCCAAACCAGCTCCTAATCCCATGCCACCCAAGTCGGCGCCAGCTCCTCAGGGTCCTCGTCCGGGACAAAGGCATCCTACTGGCATCGCCTCCAAGCCCGAAGCGTTCAGCATCTCGCAGCGCGAAGGTGCCTACGGAGTCCCGTCGCCGCAGTTTCAAGCCACCCCCACTTCTCACGTCTCCTCGCCGTCGCACGCCAAGTCTCCAGGTTTCGCATTCCAAGGAGGCGGCATGTCTCCTGTCGGCGTGGAATCACAGGCCGGGCGCCCGCAGCTGCTTCCGCAGCCGCGAACCTTCAACAATCAGACTTCGCCACCAGCTATTAGTATGCCCCATACCGATCCGTCAGATGCTAAGCCACGGAGGCCCGGGGCTGGACGAGTCCCATCGGCATACTACCCTTCTCCTTTCCAAAAGCACTATGATCAGCTCGGTAAGCATTGCACATTTAATATCTCCGAATGACATTGTCTTTCTCGTCCTCCAGAGCTTTGCTAACACTCTTAGAACAAGAATACGATGCTCAAGCAGATATGGTGGATGATGACCAAGAAGGATCTATCCACAGTTCATTTGTCCCAGGGTTCACACCTCAATCAGTTGCTTCGGGATCACACAGCTTGAGCGGATTCAATCCACCTTCTGGCGGGGAGGGTTCAGCCGGGGACTTCGGAAATGCAAACCATCTGCTAGGACAGTATGAACCAATGCTGGACAACGATCCATTTGGATTGAGTGCCAGTATGCATTTCCCAACCCCATTCAACTATGAACAGAACCATCCACGAAGTTGAAAAAAAAAAGGGAAAAAGGAAAAAGGAGAGCGATGACAAGGAGTTTGATTCCGTGTTACTAAAAAGTCTTCTGAGCATTGCCAGGCGTTATTATGTTTTGAGATGCTATATTATCTGATGGATCTCTTTGCCCCTCTTGATACCAGGTAGAACAATGTACAGTCTATCACTGAGTTATGAGAAAATCTCTCAAGTAGGCAGTAATGCTAATGCTAATACAATCTATGATGCTGGCAGTGACGCCATGATACCCTAAGCCCTAGCCTGATTCGCTTAGTAAATGGCGCCTAACCGGATTCGTGCTCCACCACCACAACTCCCGCCCTTCCTCCCATCGCCTTCGCATCCCCAACGATAGCGATATCAATCTCCATTTAAAAGGCTGGATCTGTTGAGGTTCTGCCTTGTGCCCCTCCCTATCCTCTCCGCGATCGTCGAGTACCTTCCCAGTCGGAAGGACTCCGCAAGCAGGCGTCATGGCGGAAGCCATTCGGTCTAAGGTACGCTGATGAAGATAAAAGAGCTACGAGAGCTCCCACTCGCTCCGGTGCAATTGGGATCGAACAAATGGCTGGCAGGATAGCTAACATATACTATTTTCGTCTCTGCAGAACCTTTACGAGCTCCTCGGTAATTTTCATCCTTTGCTTCACAATCTTCCCAGTTCTACTGCGCTTTTGGGCCTTTCCGATCGCCCGCACACAAATCGCTTCCGGCGACCACCGGCATCACCATGAGCTTTTTCGAAATGAATATCGTCCACTAATCATGGTTTTTTCCCTATCGTTGCAGGTAACGACCCTGAGCTCGACCCCAACAGACCTGCTCCTCCCCCCGCCCGGGCCGTCGACCGACCGGCTCCCCGCCATGGCAAGCGTGATGGCCCCAAGGAGGCTCCCGCCGCCACCACCACCCCCCGCGAGAACAACAACCGCCGCGGTGGCCGTGTGAACGCTGCTGGAAACGACGCTGGTATGTGATCAATTGAGTTCAGAAATTCGCAAAAGAGGGGTAGTAGGCGAAGAAAAAGACCTGGAGCTGATACATTCGGGTCACACAGCCTTTAAGGACCGCAACGCCGGTCGCCAGAACAACCGCACCAAGCCCACCGATGAGGCCGAGCAGCCCGCTCGCCGTGGTGAGCGTCGCCCCCGTGGTGACCGTCAGTCCCGCACTGGCCAGACGTAAGCAACCCCTCCAGATGAAACAATAACTGCAAGATCTTCTCGATATTACAGTTAGGAACACAATCCATTGGACAAAAGGCTAACAATCATCTCACAGCGACACCCGCAAGCAGGTCCAGCAGGGCTGGGGTGCTGAGGGCGGCGAGAAGACCTGGGACGATGAGCGTGCCGGCGAGAAGATCGCCCAGGCCGACGAGACCGAGCCCCAGACTCCCGCTGAGGAGGCCGAGGAGGCCGACAAGTCCGTCTCCTTCGATGCCTACCTCGCTGAGAAGGCCGCCAAGGCCAGCCTGGCTGCTAAGCCTGTCCGCTCCGCCAACGAGGGCACCAAGGCCGACAAGAAGTGGGATGCCGCCAAGGAGCTCTCTCACCAGAACGAGGAGGACTTCATTGCCGCCTCAAACGAGAAGAGCCAGCGCCAGAAGCAGCGCAAGGAGAAGAACTTCCTTGACGTCGACCTGCGCTTCGTCGAGCAGCCCCGCACCGGCCCCTCCAACGGCCCCCGTGGTGGCCGTGGTGGTGACCGCGCTCCCCGTGGCGACCGTGCTCCCCGTGGTGGTGACCGTGCTCCTCGCGGTGACCGCGCTCCCCGTGGCGACCGCGCTCCTCGCGGTGCTCCCCGCGGTGGTGCTCCCCGTGGCGGTGCTGCTGCTGCCCCCCGTGGCGGCCGTGCCCCCGCTGGCCCTACCGTCGACGAGAAGAACTTCCCCAGCCTGGGCGCATAAATTCCCTCGCCCCATATGAATCGAAGGTGCCCTGCTGCCCCAGCCAGCGTGCCTTCCATTTATTTTCCACTGATTTAGTTTTCTGGGGAATATGATCTCTCTCTCTCTCGCCCTTTTTTCTAAAAAAAATTAGTCGGCCTTCTTTTCGCCTT